ACCTTCCTCTCCATCTACGTGGCGCGGCTGGACGGCAAGATCGTCAAGAGCATCGTGGAGAAGCAGCCGCGCCGCTTCGCGCTGCAGCTCCTGCGCTGGCTGCTCATCGCCGTGCCCGCCACCTTCGTCAACAGCGCCATCCGCTACCTGGAGGGCAAGCTGGCCCTGGCGCTCCGCACGCGCCTGGTGGAGCGCGCCTACGAGACGTACTTCGCGCAGCAGACCTACTACCGCGTGAGCGGCATGGACGGCCGCCTGCCCACGCCCGACCAGTCGCTTACCGAGGACATCATGCTGTTCGCGCAGTCCGTGGCGCACCTCTACTCCAACCTCACCAAGCCCATCCTGGACGTGCTGCTCACCTCGTACGCGCTCATCCGCACGGCGCGCGAGCGGGGCGCCAGCCCGGTGGGCCCCACGCTGCTGGCCGGCCTCGTGGTGTACGCCACGGCCAGGGTGCTCAAAGCCTGCTCGCCCCGCTTCGGCCGGCTGGTGGCCGAGGAGGCGCAGCGGAAGGGCTACCTGCGCTACGTCCACGCCCGCATCCTGGCCAACGTGGAGGAGATCGCCTTCTACCGCGGCCACAAGGTAGGGCGGCCGCGCACCGGCCCCTGCTGCAGCGCGGGCAGATAGGATCTGCTGGCTGTCAGCTCCCTCCCTCCACCCCAGCGGCTTGAATTCCTCTGACACTGAAGCCTGTTTACGTCTTCAGTAAAAAACAAGCAAACAGTACCCAGCACTGCAGCAGCCTTGTAGGATTTCCGTGTCCCCCCCTCCCCCCACCGGCCCCGTTCCTGGCTCTGAGCTGCACCACGGCTCTTTCATCCTCCCTGAGAGGCTCCTCCAAAGGGAGCTTCTCCTAATGCCTTCTGTTTTTAACCCTGGCAGGCTCTTCTCATTCATTCTGTTTCATTTCATAGCAAACCAGGGTTGGGAGGGACCTCAGGAGGTCATCTAATCCAGCCCCCTGCTCAAAGCAGGAGCATCCCCAACTAGATCATCCCAGTCAAAGCTTTGTCTTAGCTGGGTCATAAAACCTCCAAAGGATGGAGCTTGTACCACCTCTCTGGGTAACGTGGTCCAGTGCTTTACTATCCTCCTAGTGAGAAAAGTCTCCCTAATATCTAACCTAAACTTCCCTTGTTGCAATTTGAGACAGTTGCTCCTCGTTCTGTCGTCTGCCACCGCTGAGAAGAGTGCAGCTCCATCCACTTTTGAACCTCCCTTCAGATAGTTGAAGGCTGCTATTAAATCCCCTCTCAGTCTAATTAAATAAATAAGCACAATTTTGTCAGTCTCTGGTAAGTCAGGTCCCCTGGCCCCCTCACCATTTTTGTTGCCTTTTGCCAGGCTCTCTCCAATTTGTCCACATCCGTTACGTAGTGGGGGCCCAAAACTGGACACAGTACTCCAGATGTGGCCTCACCCGTGCTACATAATTATGATTTATTTAATAATACATTTATTATTTGTTTTTTCTTATTAATCTTATCCTCACTGGTGTTAGCAGAGGCGCTTTCAGGGTGATGAAATCCTCACTCATAAATGATGCTATGCAAAGGCAACAGTGTTGCAAGGCAATGCAAAGGTGAATTTTGCTCTCTGGCAGAAGGCAATGTGACCTTTGCCACTGTTTTGGTAGCCAAGTCAAGAAGTGGTGGCTGCAGACCCTTAAAATAGCAGAAGTGCAACACTGTGTCCCAGCAATCAGGGTTATGTAAAAAGTATCTGGTTGTGAGGAACAGGCCTAAATTTTATCTGATGGGAATTCTGACAGGAACATCTTTTGGGTGGGTAAGAGAGATTTTTTTTCCGGGTGGGGGGACAGTTTTGCCTCATGTGGAAGTGAACAGTGAAAAATGGCCTGCAGTGTTACTGTTCTTTTCAGTCAGTGTTATTCATAATGCAACATGAGCAGCTCATCTTTATAATGGCAAGGCTCTGCTGAAGCTGTCACACTGCATTAACAGCAGCTAAACTAAGCAGGTTTTTTTTTCTCCCATCACTACTTCTATGTTATTTCAGCCAGATTGTTTTATATCCTACTTCACATGCAATTCATTAAGCTGCTTGGGTAAATGGTATAAATTATCACTTTCTGTAGCCAGCTTGCTATGTTATTAAACATCAGTTCAAGATATCAGTTCTATAGGTTTACTCAGGCAAAACTCCCATCAGAGCAAACGAGAGCGAGACAGAGTAAGACTAGCAGACTTAATCCCTACATCAGTCACCAGCATTGCCCAGCTCATAGAGTTCCAAGAACAGGAACTGTTTTGTGTGATGAACATTAATTAATCTTCCATGGATTGTGAAGAACAACTCTTATGACTCGGTTATTGTTCTCCAGGTGTGTCAGATGGCATCATAAGGGGTACAGAACTGCAAAGGGGCTTCAGTGTAGACAGCAATTCAGTCTATAGGCTATATGAAAGGTGATACTTTATATAAATACCACACACACTTTTACAAGATGTAGAAAAAGATTTAAATTCAACTGTAGATGTAGGATTGCATCGTGTGTGTGTATGTGTACTTTGTAAGTATGAATATTTATGTCATACTGTGTTAGTATCTACATTTTTAACTATAGGTAGAAATGAAACAACTACAGAAAAGTTACAAGGCTTTGGCAGACCAAATGAACCTCATATTGTCCAAACGTTTATGGTACATCATGGTAGAGCAATTCCTGATGAAGTATGTCTGGAGCAGCTGTGGCTTGATTATGGTGGCTGTGCCTATTATCACTGCGACTGGATTTGCAGATGGAGGTAATAACATTTTTACTTTAATTTCAAATGTCTGTTAAAACTTCAGAGTAGAAATAAAATTGTGTCTCACTTTAATACTGCTTTTATCTACATGGCTGTAATGTACAGAAACTATATACCACATCTTCATGTTACTCCTATCATGTCTCAAACATTACAAACAAAGCAAATCAGCTGAGAGCAAAAATGATAAAAAACATTACTTTGAACTTAAACCTGCTGAACCTCATAAATTCTGAAGTGACAGGTTTACAGGACGACCTGAATGGTCATGTTATATAATATTGTAACCTTAGCTGTAGCTGTCATACCCTAAGTGAGGTTGGAAAAGCATGCTGATTCTTGGAATACATGTTGCTTTGTTACTAAGTACTGTTCATTGATTGATTCATTAGTTTATTCATTCCTTTATTGGCTTTTCTCTGATCCTCCTCTTATTGTTTGAGCACTTCAAGGCTCTGCCACATGTTCAAGGTAAAGCTAGATAGAAACCAGCTATAAAGTTGTTGCACGTTTTCAAGCACTAACCACATACAGTTGGCTCTTTTTAAGCTAGGCAGACATCTTTATGGCTTGTGAATTACTTTGCATGTGTGGCTGGTCTAAACTTATTCCTTGATGTTAATTGCAGTTAACATCATGGGCCAGTTAATTGCATAATATATAGGCAGATAAGATTCTTTGGGTGAATCTGATATCTTTTATTAGACCAGCTTAAATAGTTGGAAAAGAATTTTTAAGCAGGCTTTCGGGTTCAAAAACCCTTCGTCAGGCTGAGGAAGTTTCAGCAGTTGATGTGTGTTCTTCCTGGATAGAATGAATAGTAAAGAAGCCAAAGGCTGGGCTGGGCTGTATTCAAGACAGGCAGTCAGTGAAGATGTAGATTGAGGAGTCAATGGGTGAGAGACAGGCTGGGGGGGGGGGGAGAGAAGGGGGCTGAATAGTGGAGAAGTACCTGGGAAGTCAGCTGTCGGGTAGGTTATAATGTGTCATAAATCCAATGTCTATATTTAGTCCGTGATTTTTAGTATCCGGGAGGTTGATGACGTAGAGTTCATAGGCTTGTCTCTGGGAAGCATTTTATAAACTTCCTTTGAGGATCAGGACTGAGAGATTGGAGAGAGAGTGGTTTTCTTGTGAGAAATGTGCCCCCACATGTAATTGGGTATTCTTGTCTTTGATAGATTTCCGGTGTGCATTCATTCTGGTGCCAACTGCTGAAACTTCCTTAGCCTGATGAAGGGTTTTTGAACTCAAAAGCTTGCTTAAAAATTGTTTTCCAACTATTTAAGTTGGTCTAATAAAAGATATCAGATTCACCCAAAGAACCTTGTCTGCCTATGTCCTTACCAACACAGCTACAACCTACACCCCCCTTGCATAATATATGTAATACGTGGTAGGGGCCTTACACATGCACATTTATTTATATTTATTTATTCTACTATGTGTTGACCTATCTAGGAATCTGCATATTCTGCCTTGTTTGGGGTATAGAAGGGGACAGGAAATTCAGGTTATGGGTCCATGTGACACTAATATTCATATCTTTCAAAGATCCTGCCCAGATCTTCTGGCAGCAATGGTGATATGAGGCCCTGATATTACTGCTATTAGAGATGTTTTAAAAAAAAAAAAAAAAAAAAAAAA